GTTGTTTGGCGACCCCCGTGAAATGGTCGTTCGACCCCAAATGGGGTCCCGACCCACAGATTGAGAACCACTGGTTTAGACTAAAAGACAGATGTCCAGGTTCAAGGGCTCCATTACTTCTTTAAGTAGAGAGCAGAGAGTCACAACAATTGGGACACCCTGGTGCAATCGCTGGAAATCAGTCCTCCGTCCTCTATTGTGAAAAGCCCCGTTGTGTGCTCGTGACGCAATGTTTTGCATGGAGAAGGAACCAGCTGTGAGCTTCGGCAGGCAGCTGATTGAGAAGGTCATAGATGGCAGAGCGTGGGAAGACGCCCACTTTGGGCGCGGAAGTCTTCTCGGCTAGGCTGGGTGGATGGATCAGTTAAAGGACACCTAGAAAGTTGCTCATGTTTTAAATGCACTTTATTGGGCTTTTGCTGCGCTGGCCTGAAGTCGTTTTTCTTCAAGGGATTCCTTTTTTTTTTATAAGATTTTATTGATTTTTTTCCATACATACAATAATAATTTTTCAACCAACGTGCTGTCTGGGTTTAAACGCGCTAATACATATTTAATTCCTCATCCTTTATTCTTTCCTCCAACCATCGGTAAAATAAGTCCCAAGTTTGATCATATTCCGTTTCTTCTTTTTCTTTCAGTCTTTTATAGTCAAATAGGAGAAACTTCTTGACAGTTAAAACAATTAACCAGTGGAACAACCTGCCTCCAGAAGCGGTGAATGCTCCAACACTGGAAGTTTTTAAGAAGAAACTGGACAGCCATTTGTCCAAAATGGTATAAGATTTCCTGCCTGAGCAGGGGGTTGGACTAGATGACCTCCAAGGTCCCTTCCAACTTTATCATTATTATTATTATTATTTTGGATCATCGCACAGTCAGCCAGATGTTCAGACTGGATTTGGCATTTTGTCTACCTATCGAGTCCTTACCCAGGACCTGGGATAGGCAGATGTGGATGTTTGATGGTATTACAGATATCGTCGCAGGATGGAAGCAGTTCCTAATAAGGCCGCCTTTTGCAATTGACTAATAGCGAATTTGTCAATGCCAATGGTGTTCAAGTGGTGCTCCAGTTGTTTTGGGATTGCACCCAAGGAGCCTATGACTATTGGTACTACCCTTGCTTGCTTTTGCCACAGTCTTTCTATTTCTATTTGTAGGTCTTTGTATTTTGTTATCTTCTCCAGTTCTTTCTCTTCTATTCTGCTATCTCCAGGCACTGCCACGTCCACTATCCAGACTTTTTTGTCTTTCTTATCGACAATTGTTAAGTCTGGGGTGTTATGTTGCAGGTGCTTGTCTGTTTGAATTCTGAAGTCCCAGAGCAGTTTAATTTTATCATTTTCTATGACTTTCTCTATTTTATGATCCCACCAGTTTTTGCTTACAGGCAAATGATATTTTTTGCAGATCTTCCAATGCACCATTGTTGCTACTTTGTCATGCCGCTGCTTGTAATCAGTCTGTGCAATCTTCTTGCAACAGCTTACCAAGTGGTCCACTGTTTCTTCAGCTTCTTTGCATAGGCGGCACTTACTGTCTGTTGCTGTCTTCTCAATTTTGACTTTGTATGCATTTGTCCTTAAGGCTTGGTCTTGTGCAGCCAGAATTAGTCCCTCGGTCTCTTTCTTCAATTTTCCTGCTCTTAGCCATTGCCAGGTTTTATTATTATCTGCTTTCCCAGCTATTTTTTTCATGTATTGGCCATGTAGTGCTTTGTCTTCCCATGCCTCTATTCTGTTCTTCATTTGGTCTTTCTTGTAGGCCAGTTTGATCTCTCCAGTAGTTAGTAAGCCTTCCTGATATACTAATTTCAGTGCATCTTCATCATTGTTCTTCAGATATTCTTCCAAAGCCATTTTTTCTTCTTCAACCATCTGATGTACTTGTAGCATTCCACGCCCACCTATTTGCCTTGGTAGATAAAGTCTATCAATGTCACTGCGTGGATGAAGGGCATGATTCATTGTCATTATTTTTCTGGTCTGCCTATCCATTGCTTTTAGTTCTGCTTGAGTCCAGTCCACTATTCCAGCTGTGTACCTAATGACTGGGATTGCCCAGGTGTTGATTGCCTTTATGGTATTTCCTCCATTGAGTTTGGACTTTAAGATCTTCTTCACTCTCTTGATGTATTCACCTCTAATCTTTTTCTTGACTTCAGTGTGCTTGATGTTGTCAGCTTGAAGGATACCCAAGTATTTGTAGTAATCTTCCTCATCCAGACTCTTAATGTTATTTTCGTGGGGCATCTTGATTCCTTCAGTTTTCACTGCTTTTCCTTGTTTGATAGTAAGTGTGGCACATTTGTCCAAGCCAAACTCCATTACAATATCTTGGCTATATATACGGACAGTGTTGAGCATCATCATCATCATCATCATCATCATTATTATTATTATTATTATTTCTTCATTCTATGGTATCCCTTCATTTTTCCAATGTTGCGCAAATATTATTCTTGCCGCTGTAGGGATTCCTTTTTGGTATCAGAACAGAATAGAATAATATAGGAATGGAATAGAATAGAATAATAGAATAGAATAGAATAGAATAGAATAGAATAGAATAGAATAGAATAGAATAGAATAGAATAGAATAGAATATTAGAGGATTGAAGAATAGAATAGAAAAAATGAATAGAATAGAATAGAGAAAGAATAGAATAGAATAGAAAAATGAATAGAAAAATGAATAATGGAATAGAGAAAGAATAGAATAGAATAGAAAAATGAATAGAATGGAATAGAGAAAGAATAGAATAGAAAATTAAAGAATAGAATAGAAAAAAAATGAATAGAATAGAATAGAAACATGAATAGAAAAATGAATAGAATGGAATAGAGAAAGAATAGAATAGAACAGAACAACAGAACAGAACAGTGGTGGCGAACCTATGGCATGGAGAGAGCCCTCTCTCACTAGACTAGCCATGCCCAGTTCTGTAACCGCTCTTCGTATGTTCTAGCATCCAGTCCCCTAAACTATGGTCGCGTGTTCTGTCTGCTCTACTTGCAAAGGCTAACAGCATCACCGAAGCAAAGTCAAGCTGGTGTTCGTGAGAGCCACCCATAATAATATGTCCATTCTGCCACGTGTGACTTTGCGCCCCTGGCGGGAATATCTTCAGGGGACAACTCTGAGTGTAAAGTCCATGTCATTAAGCCTACCTATTTGGTAACCAGGAAACACACCCACCCAGTGCACAACCTTTTGCAGGTGTGGCCTGCTTACCATGTTTGTCCAGATTAAAGTCTCCCCTTATCAGTCGAATTCTGACGATGCGGCAGAATTTGACTGGCCCAGGTGAGGCACACCTGTTTACCTTTGAACTGCTTTGACCAGGGGGTCTTCCAACTTGGCCCTTTGATGGCTTGTGGACTTCAACTCTCAGAATTCCTCAGCCAGCGTGCCAAGCTGGCTGAGGAATTCTGGGAGTTGAAGTCCACAAGCCATCAAAGGGCCAAGTTGGAAGACCCCTGTCTTAGATCTCGGTCTCCCAAGCGTGGCCCCTTTAAGCCAGGGGGCTTCCAACCGTAGCAACTTTAAGACTAGAGGTCTTCAGTCTTGGCCACCTCACAACTTGTGGACTTCAGCTCCCAGAATTCCTCAGCCAGTGTGCCTGGCTGAGGAATTCTGGGAGTTGGAAGTCCACAAGTCATAAAAGGGCCAAGTTTGAAGACCCCTGTCTTAAATCTAACAAACAAAATGGAGGCTGCCTGAGGAATTCTGGGAGTTGAAGTCCACCAGTCAGAAAAGGGCCAAGTTTGAAGACCCCTGTCTTAAATCTAACAAACAAAATGGAGGCTGGCTGAGGAATTCTGGGAGTTGAAATCCACAAGTCCTCAAAGGGCCAAGTTTGAAGACCCCTGTCTTAAATCTAACAAACAAAATGGAGGCTGGCTGAGGAATTCTGGAAGTTGAAGTCCACCAGTCAGAAAAGGGCCAAGTTTGAAGACCCCTGTCTTAAATCTAACAAACAAAATGGAGGCTGGCTGAGGAATTCTGGGAGTGGAAGTCCACGAGTCCTCAAAGGGCCAAGTTGGAAGACCCCTGGCTTTGACCACCAGATACTAACTAACTGCTTACTTTGAATGCCTATTTAATGGCGTTCTCTGGAGTTTGGGGCGTAGTTTTGCTATTTGCCTTATGCTGCTTTTCTAGGCTTGCATGTAAAGTGCACCTCGCCTGGTTTTGGAAATGAAAGTTGGTCCAGCCTGCTTAAAAGGGAGGATAAAAGCAACTCATTTCAAAACAAAAAAAGCCACCCAAATGCATAGATTGTGATTCCCTTTAATTTATGCCATTCTTGCTCCGTTTTTCTAACCCTCTCATTAACCTACCTTATTTTACTCAGGCAGCTCCAAGCTCCATTGATAGGAACAAATGACAGGCAGTCCTCGACTTAACGACCACAACTGAATCCCGAATTTATGTTGCTTGAGAAATTGGTGAAGTGAGTTTCGCCCCATTGTACGACTCTTCTTGCCACATTTGAATCACCGCGGTCATTAAGGGAGTCGCCCGGTTGTTAAGCGAATCTGTCTTCCCCCCCCGTGGACTTTGAGCGTCAGAATATCGCAAAAGGGGATCACATGACTCGCCGGCACACGGCAGCCGTCCTCAATACGAACCAATTGTCAAGCTTTCGAATTTTGACCCCATGACCACTGGGGTGCTGCAAGGGTCATAAGTGTGAAATGTGATCACGAGTCACTTTTTCCCGTGCGGTTGTAACTTTGAGCAGTCACTAAATGAACTGTTTGCAAATCGAGGACTATCTGTGCCTGACAAGCTGGTGGTAAATCAGTATTCCTGTTGATCGACCGTTGGCCCGTTTCCCAGGCATCTATTATTTCCCTGGCTATTTTTGTACCTGCTCAGCCGACAATCTGAGTAGCTGCGAAATTGAACGTATGACCTTGTTCACTTTCATGTGTTCCACTGGTTGGATCCTCTTCCGGATAGGCTGGCTGAGACTCGTCTTTATGTTTCAGGAGAGAACACTGGACGCTGTTGGGGAACCTGAAGGCTACGGTGGAAGGCTTAGTCTCCATCAACCATCCCAACGTCTGGTCGAAATATGGCGGCTTGGAGCGGCTCTGCAGGGACATGCACAGCATCCTGTATCATGGCCTCATCCTAGACAAGGTAGGGTTCTCTGTGCTTGGCACCCTGTGGGGGGGCTGCACTTTGGGGCAGCAAAGGAAATTGGATTTGTGTCTTAGGACAGTGATGGTGAACCTTTTGGAGACCGAGTGCCCAAACTTCAACCCAAAACCCACTTATGTATCGTCGGGTGCCGGTGGGCGTGGCCGTCAGGTGGGCGTGGCTACAGTGCTCATGGCAGACGGGTGGGCGTGGCCAGGGTGGGGCACGGCCAACTCGATGTTGCTCCTGGGAGGGCCGGTCAGGTTTGGGGGAGATCCAGAGGTCTCTGGTGGGTGGGGTGGTGGGCAGGAGGCTGGTTCTGCGGGTGAGGCGAGGCAGGGCGGGGGTGCCATGTTGCAGGGCAAGGCGAGGCAGGGGCCAGGGGGCTGCTGCCTGACACCATTGGCCCCCGCACACAGAGGCCAGCAAGCGCATGGGTGCTGGGATGCATCCGGCCACGTGGGACCTCGGCAAGTTAGCGGGTGGCTGGTTGAAGACAATTGCCGTCTCCAGGGCATGGCGCACGTGCCCACAGAGAGGGCTCCGAGTGCCACCTCTGGCACGCGTGCCATAGGTTCGCCACCACTGTCTTAGGATGTTTTCGTTTCTTTGTATCCAGTTTGTTTGTTTGTATTATTTTTAGAAATAACTCCAGGCGATGAATATGTCCAACATACCTTGTTCCTCCTATACGCCCCACAACAACCCTGTGAGGTGGGTTGGATTGAGAGACAGAGTATGGCCCAAAGTCACCCAGTCGGCTTTCATGCCTAAGGCGGGACTCGAACTCACCGTCTCCTAATGATTGGCCCAAAGTCACCCAGCCGCCTTTCATGCCTAAGGCGGGACTAGAACTTCCTGTCTCCTGCTGATTGGCCCAAAGTCACCCAGCCATCATTCATGCCCAAAGCGGGACTAGAACTCAGCATCTCCTGGTGATTGGCCCAAAGTCCCCAGCTGGTTTTCATGCCTAAGGCGGGACTCAAACTCACCGTCTCCTGATGATTGGCCCAAAGTCACCCAGACGCCTTTCATGCCTAAGGCGGGATTAGAATTCCCCCATCTCCTGGTGATTGGCCCAAAATCATCCAGTCGACTTTCATGCCTAAGGCGGGACTAGAACTTCCTGTCTCCTGCTGATTGGCCCAAAGTCACCCAGCCGGCTTTCAGGCCTAAGGCGGGACTCGAACTCACTGCCTGCTTTCTTGCCTAACAATTTTCTTAACAGAGAAATTCTGGCTCAGGTGTGCTCATAAGTTGAGCGCTACCTGTAATTTGGCAAATTCAGTCAGTCGGGTGATAAATTCTACCAACTAAGCCAGTGTTTCCTTGGCAACATTAAGACTTGTGGACTTCAACTCCCAGAATTCCCCAGCCAGCCCAGCAACACTCAGCCCAAATAAGCCCATTGGGGAAACCAGTCCAGCCAGTATAGACCCACAGAGTCTTATCACACAGAGCTTTTTGAACTGGTCCTTTTCTCCTTCCGTTTAACCAACCTCACAGGGTTGTTGTGGCGATTGAACGTTAGAGGAGAATCTCTTTTTAAGCTTCCTCAGGCTCTCAATAAGCAAATACAGGCAGTCCTCGACTTACGACAGAGTCCAACACTTCTGTTGCCCAGGGAGACATTTGCTAATTGATTTTTGCCCCGTTTTACGATCTTTCGTGCCACAGTTGTCACGTGAATCGGTGCACTTGTTAAGTTAGTCACATGGTCGTTGAGTGAATCGGACTTCCCCCATTGACTTTGCTTGTCAGAAGGTCGGAAAAGGGGATCACATGACGGACACTGCGACCGTCGTAAATATGAATCAGTCGCCAAGCATCTGAATTTGGATCACGTTACCACGGGGATGCTGCAAATGATTGTGTGAAAAACAGTCCTAAGTTGCTTTTTTCAGTGCTGTTGTAATTTTGAACAGTCACTAAATAAACTGTTGTAAGTCGAGGACTGACTGTAATAATCACCTTCTTTAAGATTTGCCTACCTCAGGGGTAGGCAACCTTGGCTTTTTTATGACTTGCGGACTTCAACTCCCAGAATTCCTCAGCCAGTGTGGGGGAACTATGGCCCCTTCATGACTCATGGACTTCAACTCCCAGAATTCCTCAGCCAGTGTGGGGGAACTATGGCCCCTTCATGACTTGCGGACTTCAATTCCCAGAATTCCTCAGCCAGCGTGGGAGAACTATGGCCCCTTCATGACTGGTGGACTTCAACTCCCAGAATTCCTCAGCCAGCGTGGGAGAACTATGGCCCCTTCATGACTTGCGGACTTCAACTCCCAGAATTCCTCAGCTTGGAAACCTCTCTCTTTCCCCTTAGCATGGCTGGCGCAGGAATTCTGGGAGTTGAAGTCCATGAGTCATAAAGCGGCCTAGGCTAGCTGATTTTCAAGCAGGAACAAGAAGACTTTTTTTATCTTTTGCTGCTGGCAAATGTTTCTCCTTTTACCATTTATATTCAGCAGCTGCAAACCCGTTAGTTTTCTTCCTGTTTTTCTGCCTGGTTGGGTTTCGGTGGCAAGTGGGAGGCTACTTGCAGCTACTAGCACTGGAGGAATTTGAACTCTGCCTCTGTTTCCCTTCAGGTGCATTGCCAGAAGACAGACTACTGGCAGTTTGTGAAGGATGTGCCTAGGCTGAGCCCCCACGCGGCCCATCATGTGGAGAAGGTATGTCTAGTTTCATGAAAAGAAGGACCAGGGGTGACAGGATAGCAGTCTTCCAGTATCTCAGGGGCTGCCCCAAAGAAGAGGGAGTCAAGCTATTCTCCAAAGCCCCTGAAGGCAGGACAAGAAGCAACAGATGGAAACTCATCAAGGAGAGAAGCAACCTGGAATGAAAGGAGAAACTTCCTAACTGTGAGGACAATCAACCAGTGGAACAACCTGCCTCCAGAAGCGGTGAATGCTCCAACGCTGGAAGCTTTTAAGAAGAGACTGGACAGCCATTTTTCTGAAATGGGATAGAGCAGGGGTCTTCAAACTTGGCCTTTTTTTGACTTGTGGACGTTGAGTGCCTGGCTGAGGAATTCTGGGAGTTGAAGTCCACAAGTCAGAAAAGGGCCAAGTTTGAACACCCGTGGTATAGAATCTCCTGCTTGAGCAGGGGGCTGGACTAGAAGACCTCTAGAATGGTCCCTTCCAATTGTTATGATGTTAACAGTTGCAGGAATAGAGCCTGTCTAGTCTAGAGAAAAGAAAAATTAGGGGGTATATTATAGCAGTATTCCAGCATTTGAGGGGCTGCCCCAAAGAAGAGGGAGTCAAGCTCTTCTCCAAAGCCCCTGAAGGCAGGACAAGAAGCAACGGATGGAAACTCATCCAGGAGAGAAGCAACCTGGAACTAAGGAGAAAATTCCTGACACTCAGAACAACGAACCGGTGGAACTCCTTGCCTCCAGAGGTTGTGAATGCTCCAACACTGGAAGATTTTAACAAAAGATTGGACAGCCACTTGTCTGAAATGGTGTAATTTTTCCCGCCTGAGCAGGGGGTTGGACTAGAAGACCTCCGAGGTCCCTTCCAACTCTGTCATGGCTGCTCTGTTCCCCCTGGCTTTGGCCTGCTTTTCCTTGCAACCTTGTTCCTCCTTTGCAGTTCCTCCACCTTCACGAGAACGGGCAGCAGAATCCCGACAAGGCCAGAGAGCGAACGGTTGCCGAGCTCTGGCTTCAGCACAGCCTGCAGTTCCACTGCCTCTCAGCTCAGCTGAAGCCTCTGCTGGAGAACAAGCAGTATATCAGGAAATTCTACACTGGTAAGAATTCTGGACAGAATTTTTCAGCCTTTTCTGTCCCAATTTTCAGAAGCCGCCTTCCATTCATCATACAGCGTAGAAGGGCAGGGAAGATAATGGAATAGAGAATAGAATGAATGGAATGGAATGGAATAGAATAGAATATACACTAGAATAGAATGTAGAAAATAGAATAGAATAGAATTAGAACAGAATAGAATAAATACAATATAGAAAATTAGACTAGATTAGAATAGAATATAGGGAATAGAATAGAATTTGAACAGAACAGAACAAATAGAATATAGAGAATAGAATAGAACAGAACAGAATAAATACAATATAGAAAATTAGACTAGATTAGAATAGAATATAGGGAATAGAATAGAATTTGAACAGAACAGAACAAATAGAATATAGAGACTAGAATAGAACAGAACAGAATAAATACAATATAGAAAATTAGACTAGATTAGAATAGAATATAGGGAATAGAATAGAATTTGAACAGAACAGAACAAATAGAATATAGAGAATAGAACAGAACAGAACAGAACAGAATAAATACAATATAGAAAATTAGACTAGATTAGAATAGAATATAGGGAATAGAATAGAATTTGAACAGAACAGAACAAATAGAATATAGAGACTAGAATAGAACAGAACAGAATAAATACAATATAGAAAATTAGACTAGATTAGAATAGAATATAGGGAATAGAATAGAATTTGAACAGAACAGAACAAATAGAATATAGAGAATAGAATAGAACAGAATAGAATATAGACTAGACTAGAATAGAATATAGAAAATAGAAGAGAAGAGAATTAGAAGAGAACAGAATAAATAGAATATAGAAAATAGAATAGAATATAGAATAGAATAGATTAGAATATAGAAAATAGAATAGAATACAATTAGAACAACAATAGAATATAGAAAATAAACTAGACTAGAATAGACTAGAATAAAATATAGAAAATAGAATAGAATTAGAATACAATGGAATAGAATTTAAACTAGAATAGACTAGACAGAATAGAATAGAATATAGAATAGAAAATAGAATAGAATAGAAATTAGAATAGAATAGAATATAGAATAGAAATTAGAGTAGAAAATAGAATAGAATAGAAATTAGAATAGAATAGAATAGAATATAGAATAGAAATTAGAGAATAGAATAAGAATAGAATAGAATAGAATATAGAATAGAATAGAATAGAGTAGAATAGAATAGAATAGAAATTAGAATAGAATAGAATAGAATATAGAATAGAAATTAGAATAGAATAGAATAGAATATAGAATAGAAATTAGAATAGAATAGAATAGAATATAGAATAGAAATTAGAGTAGAAAATAGAATAGAATAGAAATTAGAATAGAATAGAATTCTTTATTGGCCAAGTGTGATTGAACACACAAGGAATTTATTCTGGCAGGTTTGGAGGCATCGGACACAGAGAATCCTCGACTTACAACCATTTGTTTAGCGACCCGTAGAAGTTATAACAGCATTGTAAAAACATCATTTTTTGCACTTTCAACCCTTGCAGCCTCTCCGTGGCCATGTGAATTAAATTCAAATGCTTGCCAACTGACGATTGCAACGTCCTGGGGGGTTACGTGATCCCCTTTTGCGACAAGCAAAGTCAATGAAGGGAAGCCAGATTCACTTAACAACCGGCTTACTCACTTAACAACTTGCAATGCTCCCCTTAACCACTGTGGCAAGAAAGGTCATAAAATGAGCCAAACTCACTTAAAAATTGTCTTGCTTAGCAGCAGAAATGTTGGGCTCAGCGTTGTTCCTAAATCAAGGACTACTTTGGTTTTCCCTACGGATCCTCAGTTTGCTTTTTATCTGCTGCTTGGAATATGTTGGTAGCAATAGGGAAGCGGACGTCGCCAGCTTTTTTTGGAATCGCTTATCTCGGGCGTAACGTTTTCCCATGCAAATATTTCCTAGGTCAGTGGTTCTCAACCTTTTTAATGCCGCGACCCTCAACCGGTCGTAAGTCGAGGACTACTCAACCGGTCGTAAGTCGAGGACTACTCAACTGGCGCAGCACCGTTTGCAGAATGGGACTTTTGGCGGGCTCAGCAGGACAGAGACAGCCTGGACAATTCCTATTGGCTTTTGGAAAGCCAATAGAATTAGACTCTATTCAAGAGAGTCTATTCTATTGGCTTTCAAAAGCCAATAGAAGCCAATAGAACAGTGGTTCTCCACCTGTGGGTCGGGACCCCATTTGGGGTCAAACGACCATTTCACAGGGGTCGCCAAACAACGCAGTCCGCCATTTTTTTCCCCCTTTTCCTTAGCTGTGCTACTCCCTTTTATTCTATTGGCTTTTGAAAGCCAATAGAATAGACTCTCTTGAATAGAGTCTAATTCTATTGGCTTTCAAAAGCCAATAGGAATTGTCCAAGCTGTCTCTGCCCTGCTGAGCCCGCCAAAAGTCCCATTCTGCAAACGGGGCTGCACCAGTTGAGTAGTCCTCGACTTACGACCGGTTGAGTAGTCCTCGACTTACGACTGGTTGGGGGTCACGGCATTAAAAAGGTTGAGAACCACTGCAATAGAATAAAAGGGAGTAGCACAGCTAAGGAAAAGGGGGAAAAATGGCGAACTGCGTTGTTTGGCGACCCCCGTGAAATGGTCGTTCGGCCCCAAATGGGGTCCTGACCCACCGGTTGAGAACCACTGTCCTAGGTCAAGGGGTGGTCCAGCCTTAGCAACTCTTAAGATTCCTGGACTTCAACTCCCAGAATTTCCCGGCCAGGTCTGCTTGCTGGGGGATTCTGGGAGTTGAAGTCCACTGGTCTTAAAAGTGGTCAAAGTCGGAGACGCTGTGCCAATTCAAATGTAAATTGTCGAGTTGACTCCTGATCTTCTTCCACGCTTCCTTTCGCCGTTCCTGATTCAGAGACCTGTTTTTCCCTCTTCCCCATCTGGACTTTAGTTTTAACGGAAGGGGCTCTCCCCTCCATGGATTAATCATCAACCCAAGTTGTGTTGGTGTTGACACTTAGCCGGCCACTTGAAGAAACAAAAAAACAAATCCAGAACACCTTCGCCCACCAGTCTTGTTGCTAAAGCTGCGTTTAGGGAGGGAATCCTGGGAGCTGAAGCCCCCCCCCCCGCGTCTTGCCAAGTTGCCAAGTTGGTGAAGAGATCCTGTTCCCCCACCATAGAGGCACAGGGCCAAAGGCACAATTCTGCCCTCCGTTTTTAAACTTCTTTTACAGATTCAGCTTTTCTGCTGAGTGACGCCCACGTCACCGTCATGTTGCAGTGCCTGGAGGCTGTGGAGCAGAACAACCCCCGGCTTCTGGCCCAGATCGACGCCTCTATAGTGAGAAAGAACTTCTTTCTTTCTTTCTTTCTTTCTTTCTTTCTTTCTTTCTTTCTTTCTTTCTTTCTTTCTTTCTTTCTTTTTCTTTCTTTCTTTCTTTCCTCCCTCTTCATTCCTTCCTTCCCTTTTCTTTCTTTCCTTCCTTCTTTCTTTTCTTTCTTCCCTCCCTCTTCCTTCCTTCCTTTCTTCCTTTCTTTCTTTTTTCTTTCCTCCTTTCTTTTTTTTCTTTCTTTCCTCCCTCCTTCCCTACTCTTTCTTTCCTCCCTCCCTCTTCCTTCCTTCCCTTTTCTTTCTTTCTTTCTTTCCTCCCTCCTTCCCTACTCTTTCTTTCCTCCCTTCCTTCCTTCCTTCCTTCCTTCCTTCCTTCCTTCCTTCCCTTTTCTTTCTTTCTTTCCTCCCTCCCTCCCTCTTCCTTCCTTCCTTCCTTCCCTTTTCTTTCTTTCTTTCTTTCTTTCTTTCTTTCTTTCTTTCTTTCTTTCTTTCCTCCCTCCCTCCCTCCCTCCCTCCCTCCCTACTCTTTCTTTCTTTCCTCCCTACCTCTTTCTTCCTTCCCCTTTCTTTCTTTTTTTCTTTCTTTCTTTCTTTCCTCCCTCCATCCCTCCCTTCCTTCCTTCCTTCCTTCCTTCCTTCCTTCCTTCCTTCCTTCCCTTTTCTTTCTTCTTTCTTTCTTTCTCTTTCTTTCTTTCTTTCTTTCCTCCCTCCTTCCCTACTCTTTCCTTTTCTTTCTTTCTTTTTTTCTTTCTTTCTTTTTTTCTTTCTTTCTTTCTTTCTTTCTTTCTTTCTTTCCTCCCTCCCTCTTCCTTCCTTCCTTCTTTCTTTCCTCCTTCTTTCCTTCCTTCCTTCCTTCCTTCCTTCCTTCCTTCCTTCTTTTCTTTTCTTTTCTTTTCTTTCTTTCAAAAGCACCTTTGGGACAATCAGTGGAATAACTTGCCTCTAGAAATTGTGGCTGCTCCATCAGTGCAGGTTTTCAAAAATAGACCAGGCGACCATTTGACCAGGATGATATATATCAGGACTCCTGTCTGGAGCAGGGGGTTGGACTAGAAGACCTCCAAAGTCCCTTTCCAGCCCTACGATGCTATGCTCATCCCCAGTCCTCCGTGGCCTCAACCCGGCTCTTCTTTCAGTTTGCCAGGAAAGGCGAAGCCTCCGAGTCCCGGACGAAGAGCCTCACAGCCCTGTTGGGGTCCATCTCTACCCCTCCTGCTGAAAACACAGCCCATCGCTACCTCGGCTCCTTCTCAGGGCTTCCGTCCACCTACGCCAGCATCCCAGGTAAGCCACGAGCAGTGGCATGCTAGGGATTATTATTTAAAAAAATAAATCTCTCTTCTACTACTCAGTTACTGCAACGTGGATGCTGCCACCGTTCGGTTTGAGGTTGCCGTTTGGGGCAGTTTTAGGTCTCCCCCCCCTCCCATCAATTGGATAGAATTGGAAGGCGTACAGGTAGTCCCCGACTTAACGACCGTTTGTTTAGTGGCAGTTAACGATGGGGCCGAAAAGGGTGATGCCGTGGTTCCGACAGACAGAGACGAATAAAGCAGAGCTCCGAGGCTTGCAGTTTCCTCAAAGAACGTGTTTATTGGTTGCAAAGTATGGGCACGTCAAAAGTGAAACCAAGTCTGGAGACACACCTAACCATTGGACGCTATCTAACAAAATGAAATTCAGGGGTGAAAAAAGTAAGGTTCTACATTTAGGCAAGAAAAACCAAATGTACAGGCGTAGTATAAGGGGTACGTGTCTCAAGAGTAGCAACTGTGAGAGGGACCTCGGAGTCCTAGTGGACGATCCCTTCAATAGGAGCCAGCCGTGTGCTGCAGCTGCCAAAAAAGCCAACACAATCCTAGAGTGCATTAACCTTGTGAACTCTCAAGCTTCCTCCTTCTGTTACATATTCAAGATGGGCAGTATTTAATATTTATTTGTTACGTATATGTAGGTGTGAGTCTATACACATTGTCAACGCTGCAAATATTGTATATTCTTGCTTTTGACAATATGCAGAATTGTCTGGTAAATATGGGGTTAATAAAGAGCAGAAGGGGCGTTGGGGGTAAAGCCCGGGAAAGAAAGAGGAAGAAAACATTTGACCTTCACACTAATTGGATAATGTGAGATAGGAGGGCTAATTTAGGGAGGGAACATGCTGATAATTTAACTCGTGTTTCTCAACCTTGACCATTTTAAGGCATGTGGACTTCAACTCCCAGAATTCCACAGCCAGCATTGCTGGCTGTGGAATTCTGGGAGTTGAAGTCCACATGCCTTAAAATGGTCAAGGTTGAGAAACACTTATTTAACTGCTCAGAGGAAGACAACTTAGATCCTAGCATCCCTCCGTTGTGCCTGTGCCGACATTTTGTAACAATAAAAGACTTTTAGGAAAATCAATGCCTGGAAGTTCTTTGGAATGTTACATTAGCCGGAACCACATCGCACCTGTAAATAGTATGTTTAGGTATGTGTCATGTATGTGTTTCACGTTGAGAGCGGGCAACTCAATTTCATTTTTGTTGTGTGCCATTGTGCCCAGTAAAAAAAAAAAATGACAATAATGTTCTGGTAGCCAGATCGTCACCGAAAATAAGGTAGATTCCTTGTCTGTGCCCCCTTCTCTTCCTAGACAGGAGATTATCAAGCCCTCCGGCGTTCGGTGGCACCGTTCGGTCTGAAGAAAACGCCGCTTGGACCTCCACTCCCCGGCATCAGGAAGGCAGGTGCCCCCAACACCTGGCCGGTCCTCCTCTCGGCATCTCCAGCCCCAACGACGCCAACAATGCCCCGGCTGCTGGGACGAGCACCGGCCTTCCGCCGAACCCGACCTCAGACCCCTGGTCCGGAAGCCAAGATGAGACGGACGGGCCGGAATATCTGGCCATCGGGAATCTCGGCCGGCCGAGTCGGGCTTGCGACAGTCCCGAAGTATCCGGCCCGGCCACCTTGAACAGTTCAGGGAGCAGCTCCTCCAATCTGTTTTCGTCCGGCAGCTCTCAGAAGCTGGAGTCGGTTTCCTCCTGGGGGGAGCTAGGAGGCAGCTGGAAGTCCTCGCTTTTACGGCGGTCCAGCTTCTCCGAGGGACAGACCTCGGTTCTCCAAGGGAAACCCAAACGGAGCCACGTGCGTTCCCAGTCGGACACCAATGTGGCTTCTGCAAAAGCTCATGGTAAGAGGGGAGAAATGTGTGTTTGTGTGTGTGTGTGTGTGCGTATGTGTGTAGAAGTGTATCTAGACACAACAGGTAGTCCTTGTTGGTTTAGTCTGATCAAGGGTCTTCAAACTTGGCAACTTTAAGACTCGTGGACTTCAACTCCCAGAATTCCTCAGCCAGCGTGGGGGAACTATGGCCCCTTCATGACTAGTGGACTTCAGCTCCCAGAATTCCTGAGCCAGCATGGGGGAACTATGGCCCCCATGCTGGCTGAGGAATTCTGGGAGTTGAAGTCTGCAAGTCTTAAAGTTGCCAAGTTTGAAGACCCTTGATCAGAAATATTGAACGTAATAGTTTGAGATCTGTACTAAAGATATTTGTAAGTTATGGAATTATTGACCAACTCAGCCGCCACGTTGCTTTTCCAATGCTTAAATGTAAAACTAGAACACCAATAAAAAAGCGACAAAATCTTTAGCTCAGATGACCAACTACAGAGCTGGTCTTTTCTATCTGCCACGTGCGTTCCCATTCAGAATGCAGGTCTTATCTATTTGAGTTCTCACCATCTTGCATCAGCTAATTAGTAATACAATAATATTCTTATTTTCTGGTAATTTCCAGATCTCTTAACTTTAGTAACCCAAATTCCTCCTCTTTCAACATTTAATACTTCCTGCCTTTTTTTCTTAATATCTACTGTCTCATATTTAAGCTAATAATTCTTATTATTACTGCTAGCCCAGGGCTTTTTTTGTCATAGAACGCTCAGAACGGAGTTCCGGCACCTTTTTTGGATGGAACCTTGTAGGGTAGGCAAGGCGGGTTATATGACATGTGTGAGTTCTGGCACCTTTTTTTTTTTTTTTTTTACAAAAAAAAAGCACTGCTGCTAAGTAAAAAAAATTTTTTGTCGCTTTTATATAATTGGCTGATTTAATGGGGTGGAACATACTGTGTGGTCTCAGAAAATGGATTAACGCAGTACTGTAATCAGTTTAAGTATGTTGCAGTGTGTATTGCATCCTAAACCAGTTTGAGACCTGGTTGCCTTGGAATGCTGAGTCCCCTTATCCCCTTAATTAATTTGGGAATGTCTGTCTTATCTTTAGAAGATATTTTACAAATAATCTACATCGAAAGGCAAGGAAAAGCCCGTCCCTCAAATAGTGCTCTATTCCATTCTCGCTTTCCACGTTCTGGCAAGGGCTGCTGGGAATTGTAGTTTGATGATACCTCTCTACCCCAGACAACAGGCTTTCTAAAAAGGGGGTGGTCTTCAAATCCCAGCATTCCTCAGTCCCTAGGACAGTTCTTGAGAGTTCTGGGGAGTTTGACGTTTGCTTACCTGGTTGGGAAAACTCCTCTGGATCCGTTTTGCTCAACTTTCAGATGGGTGGACTTCAACGGCTGGCTGGGGGATTCTGGGAGTTGAAGTCCACCCATCTTAAAGTGGCCACGGTTGACAAAAACATCTATACCAGTGGTTCTCAACCTTTTGAATGCCGCGACCCCAACCGGTCATAAGTCGAGGACTACCCAACCGGTCGTAAGTCGAGGACTTTCCCTATCCGGGAGCGCCGCGCATGCGTGGTGCCGCCCCCTGCGCCGGGCAAGGCGTAGCTGGCAAGCGGCAGAGACGGCGCAGGCCGACCACCGGCTGGGCCACCAGTTGGCCCAGCCCAAGGGAGGTAAGGCACCCGCCGGGCCTCACGCACGCCAGCAATCCTCCCTGCGCCCGCCGGCTTCCCACCTCCCACCCCTGGCCCTCTTTTACTTACATTTTTAGTAGTTGCTCAGCAGGGAGGGGTGGAAGCTTCCAGACAGCTCGCCTTCGCTGCAGACAACTCGCAGCACCGTTTGCAGACTGGGACTTTTGGCGGGTTCAGCAGGGCAGAGACAGCCCGGACAATTCCTATTGGCTTTTGAAAGCCAATAGAATTAGACTCTATTCAAGAGAGTCTATTCTATTGGCTTTCAAAAGCCAATAGAATAAAAGGGAGTAGCACAGCTAAGGAAAAGGGGGGGGGGGAAATGGCAGACTGCGTTGTTTGGCGACCCCCGTGAAATGGTCGTTCGACC